TCATTGCCTTACCCATCTTATACATATAACTGTATGGCTTGCTTCTGTCATGTTTCCTATCTCTTCTCCTTGCTCTGTCTTCATTGTCTAGTCCTCAAGTTCTTACTTTCTTTTTAATTGTAATATACATTTCTATTTGTATTTCTTCTTTTGAGTTCTTATACTAGGGAGACTATATGATATTTACACATGTGTATCTGGTTTATTTTACTTATGAGTATATCTCTTCAAGTTGAATCCACTTAAATATAAAGGCTTTGAGTTTATCATTCTTTATAGCTGAATAGTACTTCATTATATAAAAGTACCACATCTTTTTCATCCATTCCTTAGGTGATGGGCAACTTGCTTGTTCCCAAGCTTAGGCTATCACAAATTGTGCTGCTATAAACACAAGTACACACATATCACTATGATACGATGTTTTCATATCCTCTGGGAAAATTCCCAGAAGGAGAATAGCTGGTTTCAATGGGATTTGCAGTCCTAATTTTCTAAAGAGTTTCCACACTGATTTTCATAATGGTTGCACTTGTCTACATTCCCAACAGCAGTGGAGAAGTTTTCTTTTTCCTCACAGCCTCTCCAACATTTGTTGTTGGTTGATTTCTTTATGATAGCCATTCTTTCTGGAGTGAGATGATGCCTCAAGGTTGTTTTAATTTGCATTTCATGGATGGCTAGTGATGTGGAGCATTTTTTCATATATTTATTCACTTCTTTCATTTCATCCTCTGAGAAGTGTGTGTTCATCTCGGATGCCCATTTCTGGACCGGGTCTTTAAATTGTTGGGCCGTAGTGTTTTTCAGTTCTTTATAAATTCTAGCAAGCAGACTTTTGCCTGAGTCCTTATTTTTCAAATTTTTTCCCAAATTTGTGGGTTGTCTTTTTACTTTGTTAGTAATTTCTTTTGATGTGCAAAACCTTCTCAGTAAAAGGAGGTCCCAGTCGTCAATTCTTTCAAGTGTTTCCCATGTGATTTGATTTTTGTTCATGAATTCTTTGCCTACCCCTATGTCTTCCAGAGTTTCTCCTACTTTCTCTTCCAGGAGATTTAGTGTTTCTGTTTTAATGTTTAGATCTTTCATTCAGGTTGACTTTAGCTTAGTACATGGTGATATACCTGCATCAAGTTTTAGTTTTCAGCATGTAGGGAGCCAGTTTTTCCAGCATCATTTGTTAAAGAGGCTATCTTTCTTCCAGTGAGTATGTTTGGCCCCTTTGTCAAAGATAAGGTGGCTGAGTGTGTTTGTAGAGACAACAGTGTCTTCTAATCTATTCCATTGATCCTCAGGTCTATCTTGTTGCCAGCACCATGCCGATTTTCTCACAGTAGCCTTGTAGTATAATTTCAAGTCAGGAATTGTAATGCCTTCTACCTTGTCTTTGTTGGATTTTGGCATCTATGTTCGTGAGGGAGATCGGCCTGTAGTTCTCTTTCTTAGTTGCATCTTTCCCTGGTTGTGATATCAGTATAATACTTGCCTCCAGGAATGATTTTGGGAGGATTGCTTCCTTTTCAATTTTATTGAAGAGTTTGAGGAGTACAGGGACTATATCTTATGTGAATTTCTTGTAGAATTCTTCAATGAATCCATCCAGACCTGGACTTTTCTTTGTCAGTAGGTTTTTTATTACATCTTGTATTTCATTGGCTGTTATTGGGCTATTGATAGTGGTTATACCTTAGTGATTCAGTTTTGGTAATTTGTAATTTGCTAGGAATCTGTCCTTTTCTTTTGTGTCTTCTATTCTTTGAGCGTAAAGCTTCTCAAAGTAGCTATTGATAATCTTCTGAATTTCCACTGGGTCTGTGGTAATTATACCCTTTTTCATTCTTTATTGCTCTTGTATTTGAATTTTTTCTTTCCTCTTTTTGATGAGGTTAGCTAGAGGTTTATCAATTTTATTTAATCTTTCAAAGAACCAGCTTTTTGAATTTTTAATTCTTTTAATTGTTTTCTTTGTCTCAATTGAATTAATTTCTGCTCTAATCTTTATGATTTCTTCCTGTCTTTGGGCTCTGGGTTTGGTTTGCTCTTCCTTTTCTAGGTGTTGGAGGTACAACATTAGAGTGATTATTTGTTCTTGTTCTGTTTTCCTATTGTGTGAGTTCACAGCTATGAATTTCCCTCTGAGAACTGCTTTCAGCGTATTCCATAAATTCCAATAAATTGTGGTTTAATTTTCATTGAATTGTAGGTATTGTTGAATTTCTTGTTTAATTTCATCTGTGATCCATTGTTTGCTGAGTAGGGTGTTGTTGAATTTTCATGTATTTAGGGATTTTTTCTGGTTTCTTTTGTTGTTTATTTCTAGTTTCATTGTACTGCGGTCAGATAATATGTATGGGATAATTTCTGTTTTATTGCATATACTTAAGCATGACCTGTGGACCAGTAAGTGGTCTGTTTTGGAGAATGACCCATGTGCAGCTGAGAAAAATGTGTATTCAGCTGTGTTTTTTGTGGAACACTCTGTATATGTCTACTTAGCACATTTGTTTCGAGCTCTGGTTCAATTCTGTTACTTCTTTGCTAAGTTTTTGTCTGGTTGACCTATCTTTTTGGGATAAGGGCGTGGTAAAGTCTCCTGTTAAGATTGTGGTGTTGGCTATTAGATTTTTCATGTCCATTAAGATTTGTTTTATATAGTTGTGTTCTCCCATGTTTGGTGCATTCATATTTATGAGTGTTACCTCTTCCTCTAGAATTTTTCCCCTAACCAGTATATAGTGACCTTCTTTATTTCCCTTGATCATTCTTGGTTTGAAGTTGAGACTGTCTGAGAATAGCATTGCTACCCCTGCTTTTTTCTGAGGTGCTGGGGCATGTAGTATTTTGTTCCATCCTTTGACTTTCAACCGGTTAATTTCTTTATGCATTAAGTGTGCTTCTTGTGTACAACATATTGCTGGATTTTGTTCCCTAATCCACTGTGCCAGTCTATTTCTCTTAATTGCTTAACTGAGTTCATTTCCATTGATGGTTATAATTGAGGTGTATTGACTTGTGATTGAGTTGTTATTTACCTGCTGTTGTTTACTTCTTTTTTTCTTTTTCTCCTGTGTATAATTGTTTACCATATTTAGTTGGCTGCTTCTGTTCTTGTTCATGGAGTTCTGATCATTTTGGTTCCTCTCTAGAACATCTTTCAGGAGTCTGTGCAGGGTTGGCTTTATCATCATGAAATTCTTTAGTTGTTCTTTGTCATGGAAGTATTTCACTTCCCCATCAAACTTGAAAGAGTTTTGCAGGTTATAGTAGTCTGGGCTGGAATTTATTTTCATACAGGACTTGAAGTACTCTGCTCCATGCGCTTGTTGCCTTCATGGTTTGTGAAGAGAAGTTGGCTGTAATCTGATAGAATTCCCTTTGATTGTGATCTGTGTTTTTTTTTTTTTTTTTTTTTCCCTCTAGCGGCTTTCAGTATATTATTCTTGTGCTGCATTTCTGGGATCTTGACTATTATATGTCTCGGTGTGGTTCTCATTGGGTTGAGATTACTCGGCATTCTGTATGTTTCGGTTACCTGAATGTCAGAGTGTTTCCTCATATTTGGGAAGTTTTCTGCTATTACTTCTGCCCATATTTTTTTTAATGTCATTTATATTGACTTCTTCTTTCTCACTGATGCCTATTAGTCTCACATTGTTCATCTTTGCATCATCTTGCAGGTGATGAATTATCTTTTCCTGCATCCTAGTTGTTTTTAAAAGATCCTTTCTTACCTTTTCACTAGCTGCACCAGCATCTTCACAATCTGAAACTCTGTCTTCACTTTCAATCAAAAGATTTTGCAAGATTTGTGATTGAGATTTTTAAGTTCCTCTATATCTCTTTGACTCTGCTTCATGCAATCTATTTCTTTCCTGTATTGCTCATTCAAAGAATGCATCATTTTTCTAATCTCCTCTTTTTTTTTTTAAATCAATATCTTCTTTAGAAGCAGTTATTAATTCTTTTACTGCAGTGTTTTCTTCAGCTTGGGTTCCCTCCATACGTTTCTGCATTTGATTCTTTAGATTATATGAGTTCTGAGATTTCTTTTTTTATTTCAGAAATTAATTCTGCTCTGAGTTCCTCTACACTTTTCTGCTGTTGCTTATTTACTATCCACACTATTAATTCATACATTTCATCTGAGGTAGTGTCCTCTGCACTTGTTCTGGGGGAGCATTGTGTTTCCTCCATATGTTTCTGCATTTAATTTTTTACTGCACATGCTATTAATTTAGGGATTCCTTTTTTATTTCCAGTCTGTGTTCCTCTATACCTTTTTGCAGTTGTTTCTTTATTTCAGAAGCTGTTGATTCATTGATTTCAACTGTGTGATTCCCTATTTGCTCTGTACTAGTGTCCTCTTCAATTGTTCTGGGTGGGTCTGGGGTTTGAGATTGCATTTTGGTTCTTCTCATTGTTATTTTGTATAGCACTGTCTTCTGAACTTTGCTGTCATTTTTCGGTGCAGTTATACCCTTTTCACCTCCTGAAATTCAGGTGTAGATCTACAAAGTTTGAATTTATCCAGTTGTGCCTGGCTTGGGTCTGGCTGTTGTGCTCAGCTCCTTCCTACTGCATCCTTTGGGAGTGAACCTGTTGTGCCCCTCTGGCAGGATGTTCCGCTGCTGGACTAGCCAGGTGGTTCTGTTCCCTACTCTCTCTGCAGGGATTGCAGCTGCAGAGTTTCACCCCAGGCCTGTATGCCAGGCCTGAGCTGAATCTGAAAGGGACAAGGGGGAATAGGGGAAAAGGCAGCTCTCTCACATGCTCACTGGGCCTGGGCTAGGGCTGGATCTGGGGGTCCTGAGAGCAGGATAGGAGTTCTCACTCACTGGGCAGTCCTAGGGGGGCTGCACAGTGGTGGTTTGGGGCCCCCAAGGCACAGAAGAGGGTCTCACTCACACTGCACCTGGGTTTGGACTAGACAGGTCCTGCGGGCATAGGGTAGTCCTGTCATAGTTTTTAAAAATGTCAAGAACACATTTATGTCTTAACAGGTAATCAAGCTTCCTTTGCATTTGGGTGATCGAAAATTTTACGAAAGTCATACCTGGCCTTCCCCTGAGTGCTCTGTGTGTTCAGCGGGGGAAGCAGAGAAAGCAAAATTAGGCACCGACGGTCCATCTGCACTCTCAGGGAAAGAAACCCAGAGAAGCATCGGAAAGACAGCGGCGCGCACAGCTGAACCCACCTTATGTTCTTCTCAGGGTTAGTTGATTTGCTTTTGTTCCATTCAATTGCTAATATTTTGAGGTGTACTTATACACTAAACCTAAGAAATAGGAATTTTTGTACTACTGTATTATTATGTCTACAAAGATATTTCAAGGGACTGTGTTAACAAATAATTTTTCATGTCACACTATTACATAAATATAATGTTAGTTCACTGAAACACAAGCTTCTCTCTAGTGTATTGCTCTTAGAATTTTTAAGGTGCTTTCGGGGGGCCATGATTTTACACTTTTTGTTCTTCTTTCTAAATCTTAGTCTTTCTTTTCCACTCTTGAGAGTGGAAACCAAAAAATGAACCTGAAAGATAAACTAGTTTCAGAAAAAGTATTACTAAATAATAGAATGTATTTTATA